TTGGTGACAACTAATTGAAAGGATAACTTGGTCGAAACGAATAATGATCGATAAACGCATAATTTTTATTAGATAGTTTTACGTCTAGAATAGCCATTTCTCTACATTGAAAATGTTTATGAGGATATGTAATGTAGAATCCGTCCATGTCGATGATGTATCTAATATTTTTTTAGATTTTGAGTGATTTAGAACCAAAAAGTTAAAAGTATTTACACGTGACTAAAATAGTTTGTTCAACAAATTTACATAACAATGCTTCATTACTTCCCATCAACATCATACAAAATCATTCCTGTAATTTAAGTAAACAGAATCACATTCACTAATGATCAGCTAATGACTGTTATTGTTAAAAAAGTATTTGTTAACTTTTTCACTTTCTACAATTCTCTTTGTATTTAAGGCTGGGAAATATCTGCCGCGCTGCCTCAATGCGTGTTGGCGAACTTCACATGCCTTCGAAATTTTCTCAGACATACAGGTTTCCTCACGATGTTTTCCTTCACCGCCGAGCACGTGGTAAATCAGCACTTAAAATTTCAATTAACAATTTAATTGGTGCCGGCGGGGCTCGAACCCGGGTCGCATACTGTGAAATTTACAGCTTGCGCTAACCATCTGAGCTACCACAGCTTAATCATACACACACACACAATATTTAAATATAATTTGTTAACACTAAATCATACACACGTAAGAAAATAACAGAAAGAAAAGTAAATTTGTCAATAGAATAAACACTTACATCCATGGCCTTTGATGCGTTGAAGTAACACAAATGTAGTATTGATAGATCCACTGCGGTCAAACGACCATACACTAACTCCATGACTGTAGCTGCTCGGTCTTATATAGCACCAGTAAGTAATAATTCTAATCTAAAGAATTTCTGCAGTGAAACTGATAGTAACTTTATGCGTCAACAAGCTTATCTCACATTCTGTTGCATATCTAAACATTCCTTCGTGTTGCGTCTTGTTCGATGTATCGATGACTCAAATACGATTTGTATGTCACAAAAGAAATGCAATTTAATATTTAGAAATCACTATAATTGATCATTCCTATTTTAGTCATTGAGTAGATTGGTACTGTAATAATGCACTAATAGCAGTAATATCATGGATACACTAGATATACAACAACATCCGAAAAAGATTTACCCCAGTCTAGAAAATAATGTTTATGCTGCTAATAGACTGCCCATGTATACCCACGTACCAACGTATATAATATGCAATTTGGATACAGATGATAAACCAGGGTCACATTGGGTAGCTTTATATATCGATACGAATGACGTCGGTATATATTTTGATTCATATGGACGATCACCTGTACGATATCATCTAGAGTTTTTAAAAAGGAATTGTAAAAGATGGAACTGGAATGTTGATAGGATTCAGAATGAGTGGACTTCAGTTTGTGGCGAATATTGCTTAATGTATTTGCTATATAAGTTTCAGGGATGTTCAATGCATGCGAGTATATTTACAGGGAACGCATTGTACAACGATATTTTAGTGGATGAGATGTTCCGCTCCTATTTTATAGATAATAAGTAATAAGATTTTGTATTTTGTAAATAAAAATTGTAACAAAATTGGGTAATGTGTTTTATTGATGATTCAGATTAGCGTTGTAGATAGGCAGGCCGACGCACACGCCGAGGAAGAATAGACAATGACAATAGATAAGAACAATGGGATGCTAATGGCGGTGGAGGCCCTCACCGGATATCAATAAGATATTAGTTAATTGATCTGCACATCTCCGGAACCGTGCATCCTACGCAAAACGGACCGCAGATTCGTGATTAGAGCGTGCCAAAACCTGTATTTTTTAGGATCGTGAGTCGACGAACGTTGTACCACTTCTGCCTCAATGAGCCAGAACTTGTACAACGTAACTACTAATGGTTCCCTTACTAAAAATCCATTTAACTTTGGAAACTATGGTATTAATTCTTTCAGCTTATATATTGATGGTCAACAAATACCTTCAAAAGCTTTGCAACCATCTTTTAATAATAGTATATTTACATCAGCATATCGTACTCTATTCTCGGGAACTGGTATTCACTTTCTTAATGAAGGAAAAGGAATCTCTTGTGAACAGTATGCCAAAGGTGACTTAACTCCTGATTTATCAGCCAACTCATCAGCTCATTGGAATCTCATAAAGCATGGTAGTGTAAGATTAGAAGTACGATTTGAATCCTCACTAATACAAACAATTAACTGTATAGTTTATGCTGAGTTTGATAATATTATTGAGATAGATAAAAACAGAAATGTTACTGTAGACTATTGTAGTTAAGGTTATAATATGTGTTGTGTGTTAGATTTCATGTGTTATGTGTAATGCATTTTGTGTGTATGTAACTATGTGAAACGTTATAAATCTAAATAAAACAAATTGTATGCAATATATTATTTTTATTTCTTTATAAATCTTCTATTTAATCTAACACAAAACACTGTTCGAGATTAAATTTTACATAAGCACACTGTGACTAAGCCACTGAACATGCTGCTGCCAAGGATCATCACCATCTTCCCAATCTTTTAAACCACCACCACAATGGAAACACTTGGTCCTATCTGCATGGCCAGTATAAAAGAAACCGGCTTCTGCAAGATCTTCAGGTTTCTGTCGCATAACGAGAGGCCAATTTTCGAAAGTGAGCAACCGGCTAGATTTTGAACTGAAGAATGGATATTCAGCTCTTGAGTACTGCATATTCTTCTCGTTTTCTTCTCCACTCAGTGTTGTAGTTTTATTATTCAATGATGTGTTCTGCCTCAATGCGTGTTGGCGAACTTCACATGCCTTCGAAATTTTCTCAGACATGCAGGTTTCCTCACGACGTTTTCCTTCACCGCCGAGCACGTGGTAAATCAACACTTAAAATTGCAATTAACAATTTAATTTCTGCCCTGTGTGTATCTACATTTTGAAAACAAAAAAAATCCAAGCTTGTACACAAAACGCGATAACATCATATCTAGGAATCTAAGACAGAGAAACAAACTAGTGCTACCAACTTCAAAACTAAAATCTCATTCATCCAGCTAATTTGACATGTCTATAAAAGTATAAAATAAAATACCCGAATATATGAAAAACATTAAGAACGAAAAACCGTTTGAAAAAAAATTTAAAGCAACTACTTATAAACAAGGGTTACTATAGTACTTCTGAATTTTTAGAAGATAAAAATATAATATAATATAGATATGTAAATATAAATATGTTAGGTAATAATGAATTGCTATCCTACTAAATAAATTACAATAAAAAAATTCTGATAAAATTTAAAATTATTCAAATAATTTAATAAAAATTCAATTGTGCTACCTATAATAATAAATTAAATGTCAAAATCAATTAATAAAATAAAATAATAGCCTTTATTCAGATCAACTTAACCTAATAACAATATTCTAAAGCAAACATAAAACTTAATCTAATATTTGATGCTTTTTTATCTTTTGTAGTTTTGTTTGCCAATTGGCAAAAGCCTCCTCCAACCTCTTCCATTCTGATCTTTCTTTAGCCACTCTGTTCCACATCACTCCTGCCACTTCTCTTATATCGTCGTCCCATCTTTTCTGCGGTCTGCCTCTTTTCCTTTTTCCTTCCCTGGGATACCATCTTGTCACCTTCTTACTCCATTTGTCATGACCTCTTATTGTGTGCCCTGCCCACCTCCATTTGAGTCTTTTAATTTTCCGTACTACATCTATGGTTCTTGTTTTATTTCTGATGACACAGTTTTTCAGTCTGTCTGATCTTTTGACATTCAGCATGCTCCTCTCCATAGCATATTGGCAAGTTGCTAGCCTGTTTGTCAGTTCACGAGTTAAAGTCCATGATTGGCAGCCATACATAAGGACGGGTAGTACGCAGGTGTTAAATAGTTTGCTTTTGATGTTTATATGAAGTTGTTTGTCTTTCATAGCCTCTCTCAAGCTCCAGTATCGGCTCCAGCTGTTCGTAATTCTTCTCTTCACTTCCTCGCGCATAGGTTCTTTTTGGGTTATAAGTTGTCCCAGATAGATGTATTCGTCAGTGTAGTTGATTTCGGTATTTCTTATCCGTATCGTGGTTTTCTCTCCATTTGTCATCACTCTAGTCTTCTCTGGATTGAGTTTTAATCCTACTCTCTCACTTTCTATCGATAGGTCTTCTATCATTTTATTGATGGCTTCAGGTGTTTTGGCGAATAGCACTATGTCATCAGCGAATCTTAAATGCGTCAATGATATGCCGTCTATATTGATCCCAAGATTTTCCCAATTAAGTTTTCTGAAAATTGATTCCAGTACAGCCGAGAATAATTTTGGGGACAGGGGGTCGCCCTGTCTAACGCCTATTCCTACTTTGAATGGCTGGCTTTTCCTATCTAACTGGATTCTGGCTGTACTATGACTGTACACGTTTTTTTATTAATCGAATGTATTTGAGTTCAATCCCTTGTTCCACTAATACTTCCCATATGTTTTTATGTAGAAGAGAGTCAAATGCTTTGCTGTAGGCGATAAAAGCAACGTAATATGTAAGCCCGGTATTCGTTGTATTTCTCAATAACTTGACGAACTACATGGATGTGGTCGATCACCGAGTAGTCCTTACGAAATCCCGCCTGCTCAATGGGTTGTCGTTCGTGTAGCGTTCTTTCAATACGTTTTAAAATGATCTTAGCGAAGATTTTGTAGATGTTTGACATAAGACTGATGGGGCGATAGTTTCCGATTTCATGTTTATCTCCCTTCTTATACAACAGGATAATGTTAGATTCTGTCCATTGCTGGGGAATTATTTCAGTGTTTATAATATTGTTAAACATATCTGAACTGCTAACAATTCCTTTCCTTGTCTTAAGATTTCGTTGCTTATGCCGTCAGGACTTGGTGTTTTATCTACCTTTTGAGTATCTATGGCTTTCTCGACTTCAGCTTGAAGAATGTTAGGAATGTTTGAGGTATCCGCCGTTATGAGGTAGCGTCGTCGTCGTCGTCGTTATGAGTTTCGTCTTCTGTTGTGTTACTTTCGTACAGTCTTTTGTAATAAGATGTTGCTATATCCAATATTCCTGTTCTACGATGATTCCATTTTCCACTGTCATTTTTCATTTTAACAATCCAATCCTTCGAATTTCTCAACTCTCTGTATGCTTTTTTGATTCCACCAGTTTTGCTTATAAATGTTTTTATAGTTTCCATTCTGTTTTGTTTTCTGTCCTTCCTTATGCTATCTATAATTTGTTTTACTAATTTCCGTTAAATTTTTTCTTCTGTCCTGTGTATCTTTAGTGCTAATTAAATGGTTTCTCGCTTCTAGTAGTTTTGTGGTATTTGTTGTTAGCCATTTTTTCGGTTCAGTTTTGGTATTTGCAATTAGTTGTATTTGGGTTTTTATGGTATTTTCTATCCAATTGTATTTTCCTCGTGTTCCAAATTCTTTTGTGTTAGATTCATAGTCTGTAAATTTGTCTATTAGAGCAATTGTTATTTGTTCTACCTGATGTTTTCCGAGCTTTGTGTTAAATAAGTCGTGTCTTGGTCTAGGTTTCTTTGGTTGATTTGATGCTAGTTCTGCTCTAATTAGTTTATGCTTGGTGTTAAAGTTCAATTTCTTGATTACGGAAAAGATAGTGATGTAGTTGTTTCTGTTGGTCATTATGAAATCAATTTGGTTTTTTGTTTTGCCATCTGGCGAGATCCAGGTCCACATGTTTTTCTTATTTTTCCTGAACATAGTGTTTAAGATGGTGAGGTTATTTTCTAGTGCGAAGTTTGTAATATGTTCTCCATTTCTACTTCTGGGTTTATTACTGTATGTGAAAGGTCCTAGTACTTTTTTCTCTACCGGGCGCCTTTCTCCAAGTTGACCATTACAGTCTCCCATTATTATAAGGTTTTTATGACCGTGCTCGTGGATCGCATTATTTATATTAAGGTAGAATGTATTTATTGTATCTAGGCTTGATTGTTCAGTAGGCGAATATATTTGTACTATTGACCAAGGATCTTTATATCCAGGTAGTTTTAAATTCATTATAGCAATCCGCTCCGATATACCTATAAATCCTTCCACATATATTGTTATATGTTTTTTAACAATAAATCCAACCCCATGGAGTCCCGGGGTCTCTCCTATATGGTAGAATGTGTAATCTGGATACGATATGATTTTTTCACCCATTCTTCTCACTTCACTGAGGCCAACAATGTCCCATTTGATGTATTTTAAAGCATACATGAGTTCTGTAAGGTTTTCTTCACTTTTCAGGGTAAGTACGTTGAGTGCTGCGATAGAGATTATGGATTTGTTATTTTTGTTGTCACTTATTGTTGGAGGGTTGTGGTCTCTTTCCCCCACGAGGACCAGTCGGCTTGGGGGAGGTTGGTGTGTTCCTGTTTCATTGTTGCCAGTTTCTTCGGTTGGTTTTGGTTTCCGTTTGCCGATTTTTAATTGTTATTGTTTTCCTGTAGTAGATATATTTGAAAGAGAGTTGGACCGACCCCGCATCATAACGAAAATATTTGTCCTGTTTGCTTTGATTGAAGCTACAATCTGTTGTTTTTTGGATTGGTTAATGAGTGATAAGGGGTGATCAGCAGTGGGTGAGGTAGATGATTCTCTTTTTCGTTTATCTTGGCTCTTTTGATTCTCTTTAACGATTAGTTTATCATATTTCAAATACGCAAAATTGCCTTTTTCCTTTCTTCAGCTAGTTTGGCTTGTAACGTTTTTCGCTTTTCCAAAACTTTCTTTGAGTAATCTTCACTGATATTAATTTTATTCAGGTTCTTTTTATTTTTAATAATTTCATTCTTTTTCCAATTGCTTATAAACGAACATAGTACCGGCCTTGGTTTGTTAATTTCTCTATTTTTAGTACCTAAGCGGTAAATTTTGTTGATTTCGTAATGTTCTATAGTAATATTTAGATCTTGTTTCAGATGTTCCTTAAATTCTTGTAGTAGTTGGAAAGTTGATGTCTCTTTTTCTTCCAGGCCAAATATTATGATATTATTTTTCTTCTCCACTTTTTTCAGAAACTCAATTTCTTTTTCTAATTTTTCTACTTTGATTTTTAGGTTTTTGTTTTCTTACACCAAAGTTATTAACTTATCATCCATTTTGTCCATAATACTTTTTGTGATAGAATCCTTCAATTCCGCAGTTTGGCTTTGCATCTCAATTTTCAATTTTTCAAATAATATTTGAAATTGACCTTCCATTATATTGTTATGAAGTTGTGTTAGCGTATGTTGGAACGTAATATTAGAAATGGTAGAATTTATTTTTATGGTTGGCAACACTGGTGGTACTGTCAGTGTCGCAAACGTACGTCTTGTTGACGTTGCTATGACATATGTCGATGAATAATGTCTGTAGTGTTTTGTAACCTCAAATCACTGATGATATTGTTATTCTTATTTATCAACGATCACCAATAATCACACCAATCTGATTATCTATAAACACTTCACAGATGTTTTGCTTGCGACTTAAACTTAACTTAACTTAAAACACTCACAAAAAGTCAAATTGTGCAGGTTAGATACGATCCTGCGGCCTCAAATGACCACTTCGAGTGCGTAGCCAACACGCCATCATTACTACTTACTATGTCTGCCAAAATAGTAGTTCTATTACAAACAAATACGAAACGACAGATTCGTTGGTTACGAGCGTTTTGCATGTCTTTGAAAATTTTTCTTTAACCGTCGCTATAAATCACAAATATAAAGTTTTTAAGTTTCTAAAGTATTTATTGTTATATTTCTATTTTTATTTGTGTCACAGTTTATCAATGGATATATAAGATGTATTTGGTATTATTTTGGGATAAAATAGCACATATCGGTTTTATTGCTGTGGGTAGCTCACCGTAAGATTCACAATAATGCAGTCTAATTTGCGTATTATATGTCTTGATAACACTCTCACACACGTATTGAACAGTTTTCTCCACTTTTTTTTTTGGTAAATCTAGAACGATACAGTTGAATATCTATTTTTAAGCAATTAACTTACGAGAGCACAATGTTCACATGACAGCGGAAGCCATCTGACCAAAATCAATTAATAAATAATAACAATTATAATAGCCGTATTCCAAATTCAATGTGTGTATGTTCATATAATATAATGAATGTTAATATTAAATAATTATTTAACAATAACAACCACGAAACGGTGCCGGGCTTGGGCGTCTCCCGTTATTTGCCGCCCATAAAATGGATGATGGCACAGAAAGGGACGCGCATAGGACAGCTGCCTGGGGGTCGCCGGGGCGCGTCCGGAGCTGGCGCTGGACGCGGCAGCATGCGGGCCGCCAGCCGAGCGCGACGATCTGCACGATCACCTAGCAGCCCCTCGCATCCATCATCCCCACCAGAAGGCTTGGTGTCGGCTGAGTCTTTTCGGACTCAGCAAGTGGCACCCGCCACTGGTGGAGCACGACGCATACGTTGGACAAAAGCTATCAACGAAAACGCATTGCGTACTATAGGGTGAAAGGGGAAGAAACTGTGGGAATAGCGTATAGGGCTCGGATGCATTGTTTTTTTGCTGAGAACCTTCTATTCCCGTCACGGAACAAAACCTGGCAGACCGAGTTCGGTACATCATACGCTCGAAAATATTTGATGATGCCGAACTCGAACGACTACGACGTGAAGCTATTCCACCATCGAATGAACTATCTGCTCCATGCGACAGACCAGCATCCACACGTGGAAGCCGCCATGGATCTTCCAGTTGTGGTTGATTCAAACGACGATGAAATAGTCTCCCACGAACTAGAGCAAATGAGGAGTATATTGGATGAGGCGATTTTGGAAACGCGCAGCACCCCTCTCGAAAAGCGACCGCGACTTCCCCTCATACCCCTAAGCAAGCGAAATCGGGCTTTCGTGAGGGCCCTTAATCCAATGCTGGTGACCTATTTGGAAGCCAGCCGGGACCTTTGCGAGACGGACTCAATTTTTGCGCCGCAGTGGCAGTTTGCCGTATTATTGGCGCCAAACTTCCCATAGCTGGACGCGCTAATACACAAAGTAGCGCCATCCCAGCCTGGAGAAAAAGAATCGAGAACCGTATCGCAAAGGCAAGGGTCCTTATCGGTAGACTGACAAGCTTCAGGTCGGGTAATAATAGACCGAGGATTTTGCGCACCGTTAGGATGGCGTTTGCTGGGACAAATATCACTTTGTCCCAGCCGGATATCACGCAGAAACTAACGGAGCGCATAGACGACCTGAAGCAAAAGATTGTGCTTGGGGGAAGCGGATTCGACGATTTACCGAGAGGTCAAGGCGGTTCAACCAGAATCGTCTCCTCCAGAGTGATCAGAAGAGGCTCTATAAATCATTGGAGCGATTAAAGGTATGTGGAGCGGGCCAAAGACCGGATCAGGCTGACATTATCGCATTCTGGCGTGGCCTTTGGTCAGAGCCCGTAAACCACAGCGAGGGCCCTTGGATGGAAGTTGTGGCGAGCCAGGGTGCGAGTGTTACGCCTATGGACCCCATCACCATAACGCCGGAAAACGTGGCTGAGGCGGTCCGTAGGGCCCCGAACTGGAAAAGTCCGGGGCTCGACGGGCTGCATCATTACTGGCTGAAGGGGTTTAAAGTGTGTCACGCTGTGCTCGCCCGATAGTTTAAAGAGGCTCTCGACCAGATGTCGCTCCCGAGCCTCTTCACTACTGGGATCACTCATTTGATTCCTAAAGATCAGGATACCACAGACCCGAGCAAATACCGCCCCATCACGTGTCTACCCACCATATATAAGACACTGACATCCATTTTGAGTGCGAGAATCACTCGTCACCTGGAGCTAAACCAGGTGATGTCACGCGCTCAAAATGGATGTCGGGGCGGTGATCGTGGAATCAAGGAACCACTCCTTATTGACGCGATCATAGGCAAAGTGGTGAAACGCAACCGTCGGAACTTCTCTGCCGCCTGGATAGACTACAGAAAGGCGTTCGACTCGGTACCCCATACTTGGCTAAAGAGGGTCCTCGAGCTGTACAAGGTTGACTGTACAGTTAGAGACTTCCTCGAGCAGTGTATGGGACAGTGGAGTACGATCCTTTGTCATCTGGGCGAGCGGATGATGGCTGCGGAGAACCACATAAGGATAAGAAGGGGTATCTTCCAGGGCGATTGTCTGAGTCCAATCTGGTTCTGCATCTCTCTGAACCCTCTCATTACCTTACTGGAGGGCTCCGGTAGGGGATTTCAGGAAAGGAGGGACAAAAGTGACCCACCTTTTCTATATGGATGACCTCAAGTTATTCGCCTCCAGTCGCTCCCATCTTATGGAATTGCTAAACATCACTTGTGAATTTAGCAATTCCATTGGAGTGGAGCTGGGGACGGATAAGTGTGCGGTCATCCATGTTGAAAGGGGAAGGGTTGCTAACTCTGAGGGCATAGACTTATCTATGCCCGTCAACTTAAGGACCCTTTCCGAGGCTGAAACATACCGATACCTGGGTATGTCACAGAACATCGGTATCGATGAGGCTGGTATGAAACAGTCAGTTTGCGACGCGTTTTATGCACGCTTGATCAAAGTGCTTAACAGCCTTTTGTCCGGTGTGAATAAGACACACGCATATAACGGCTGGGTCACGCCTGTCCTCATGTGTACCTCTGGCATACTCAGGTGGAGTCAGACCGAACTTAACGCCCTAGATAGAAAAGTCCGCACTACCATGACGTCCCATAGGATGCATCATCCGAGATGGTCGGTAATGAGGCTGTACTTGCAGCGAAAGCATGGTGGGCGTGGTTTTCTGAGCGCGCTCAACATGCATAATCGCGAAGTGTGCAGCCTCCGTCATTACTTCCTGGCAAGATCGGATGATCCATTATACTGGGTTACTGGTAATTCGACGTATTCCCGCCAAGGCGTGATAGTTGGGGTCATAACCTATCAAATGAACCATAAAATGCATTATGCAAATGTGGACCAATTTCGAGATATTTAGGTTTAATTATTTTTTTCAAAAATCCCAAAAGTCTAGTGTCAAAAATTTCTAAAAAAAACTTACAGCTGTATTATTTTCATTTTATTATTTTTACTTAATGAAAACCTGGATACTTATTTATCAATACTACAATGTGCAAAAAGTCTCATCATTTTCGAAGTAACGCTACTAAAAGTACAACTTTTTCCAAACAGAAGATAAGTAATTAAAAATAAAAATGATTTTGTGAAAAATAATTGTATGTGATCAATTGTGCAAATCATGTTAAAAACATCCCTATTTATCTAGCTACCTAATGAAGTATCAACTTTGTAGTTTGCTTATGTAGAAACAGAAAAAAAAATTTAAAGAACGAGGTCAGGTAGTCGAGTTCTAAACAGACAAAGGAATTTGTGTTTTATTTTTAACCAATATTAATTAAGGAAATGAAACAAAGCACTTGATTGAAATTAGCTTTATTTATTTTAACACGATTTACAAATTTTGCTCAATATGGGAGCCCCTATTCCGTATACAGACACGCATTCGTTTTCTTAATTCGCTTTTAATAAAGTTTGAGGTTAATGTTCGTCTTATGTCATTTGTCGCGTTGATAATGCGGTCTCTCAGTTGATCAAGGGTCGGCACTGGCACATTGTCGCAGTACACAATGCTCTTTATGTGCCCCCAGACATAATAATCCATCGGTGTTATGTCAGGACTCCTTGCTGGCCATGGAATTGGTCCTCCTCTGCCAATCCACCGATGTCGATAATTTTCGTCCAGCCATCGTCGCACAGTTACACGACAGTGCGCAGGACACCCATCATGTTGATACCACATGTTTTGCCTTGTGGCGAGAGGAACATCGTGTAACAATCCGGATAAGTCCTCCCTTACACCTAAGCGACGAGCAACTATGTTCGTGGAAGTGGGTGGATCTTCTTGAAATTTACTCAAAATTTCTTCATCTTCCGCACGCGGTATACGGGGTATGCCAGCATCACGTTGTTGCGTTTGAACATTTCCAGTCCCTCGTACTCAACGATACACTGCACTAAACACTGTGACAGGGGGTGGTCGGCGATTAGGGTAGCGCTGTAGATATTCACGGCGAGCAGCTGCAGCGTCACCGTCACAATATCCATAGAGATAAAAGATATCTGCGTATTCCTCGTTGGAAAATGATTGCCTTGCATGATCTCCGCGTCTTGGTGGTTCCGCCGCCATAAAACTTTGAAACTCAACTTCTTTAAGTGTAACAGGCAGGGGTATGCGTGCGTATGTACGATACCTGTAATACTGATGACTGATTGAACAGTTTCTTCTTGTTTAACTTGTTTCTAATTTCACACTAAATGTAAACAATAGCGTAAGTTCAAACGCACAATCTTTTACGAGCATTCCCGCAGCTGTTGATAAGGTTCCGAGAAGCGATTGTTTGGGATTACCCAAAACATTGCTAATCGGAACTTGTCTACCTGATCCCTTTTTTTCAAGTGTTTTCTGTACTATTTAAGTTAGAAGCTAAATTGATACTTCGTTGGGTAGCTAGATAAGTAGGGATGTTTTTAACATTATTTGCACGATTGGTCACATACAATTATTTTTCACAAAATCATTTTTATTTTTAATTACTTATCTTCTGTTGTACTTTTAGTAGCGTTACTTCGAAAATGATGAGACGTTTTGCACACTGTAGTATTGATAAATAAGTATCCAGGTTTTCATTAAGTAAAAATAATAAAATGAAAATAATACAGCTGTAAGTTTTTTTTTTAGAAATTTTTGACACCAGACTTTTGGGATTTTTGAAAAAAAATAATTAAACCTAAATATCTCGAAATTGGTCCACATTTGCATAATGCATTTTATGGTTCATAACCCCAACTATCACGCCTTGGCGGGAATACGTCGAATTACCAGTAACCCTGTATAATGACGTCATTTCTAGTTGAATAAAACTAAATTTACGGATTCTATCGCGTTTATTTAACTGACTTTACTTATTTTTAATTCCCGACGTTTCGGGTGCTTTACAGCAACCATGGTCACGGAGGGGTCCCCCCACAACCTTTACACCCGAAACGTCGGGAATTAAAAATAAGTAAAATCAGTTAAATAAACGCGATAGAATCCGTAAATTTAGATTTATTCAATGTGTAGTGTTCGCGTAAATTTAAGAAATCGTCATTTCTAGTGATAAAGGGCTTATCCCTCTATCCTTAGCCAACGAGCAATGGCAGGACCCAGCAGTGCTTAGCATTTCCGACCGGGAGACCGTATGGAAGGAGAAGGAGCTCCACGGGAGGTACTACAGGGCTCTACATGAGCCCTTCGTAGATACAATCGCCTCCCTCAACTGGCTACGTTTCGGTGACCTCTTCGAGGAAACCGAGGGTTTTGTCTGTGCAATACAGAATCAGGTTATTAAGACCAATAACTATCGGAGATACATCTCGACGTCTGTCGAGCTTGTCGCCATCCCGGTGAGTCGCTTAGGCATGTCATCTCCGGTTGTTCGGCGCTTTCTAACTCTGAGTACTTGCACAGGCACAACCTAGTAGCCAGAATTCTACACCAGGAGCTCGCTCTGAAATACGGTCTCGTGGACCGGAAATTGCCGTATTACTAGTACTTGCCGCAAGCCGTGGTCGAAAATGGCCGCGTCAGGCTCTACTGGGACCGGTTCATCATCACAGACCGGGCACAGTCAAGGATATTTCTGGTCGACATTACCATTCCGTATGACAAAAACCTCGTGAAAGCCGAAACAGATAAGCGAACAAAATATCTGGACCTGGCTCACGAGTTGACCGGCATGTGGGGTGATCTGCCGACCGAAATTATTCCTGTAGTCGTCTCTGCAAACGGGCTAATCCCAGTCAGCCTCTCGGGTCATCTGAGGCGGGACTACGTGGCGAACCGCTCCAGGCTCAAATGCAGAAGGCGGTGCTTCTCGATACCGCCCGCATCGTCCGCCGGTTTCTTTCCCTTTCCCCCTAACCCTCGGCCGTTTGGTCTCTCCTGCCGAGGGCCTCCATCTGGTTGGGC